GGTCAATCTAAAAATTCCTTATAAAAAGTCCTAGCAAAACAGATTTTATTTATTTTTTATTTATTTTTTTAAAAGATTTTATTTATTTGAGAGAGAGAATGAAATAGAGAGAGAGAGCATGAGGGGGGGAGGGTCTGAGGGAGAAGCAGACTCACTGCTGAGCAGGGAGCCTGATGCAGGACTCGATCCCGGGACTCCAGGATCATGACCTGAGCCGAAGGCAGTCGCTTAACCAACTGAGCCACCCAGGCGCCCTAGCAAAACAGATTTTAAAGGATGTATATGATCAATCACTATTTTTGCTGAGCTTACATAAATAATTAGGCCAAGTTTGTTAAAACTGGACTTGTTTTATAAATGAATTAGTCTTGATTTGGCTGTTTCTGGAAATAAGGGTGAATTTAGAGAGAAAAATTATGCTTCAATAATGCATCCTTATGGTTGTTAGATTCTAGTTTTTTTTTTTTTAAGATTTTTATTTATTTATTTGAGAGAGAGAATGAGACAGAGAGAGCATGAGAGGGGGTAGGGTCAGAGGGAGAAGCAGACTCCCTGCTGAGCAGGAAGCCCGATGCGGGACTTGATCCCAGGAGCCTGAGATCATGACCTGAGCCGAAGGCAGTCGCTTAACCAACTGAGCCACCCAGGTGCCCTAGATTCTAGTTTTAATTGTCTTTAAATATTTGTTGTTTGCCTAAGCTAGACAACTTGAGGTAAACTTCAGACAGATTGCCATAATAGCTCATATATAGACAATCTTTCTGCTTATTACTCTATGGGGATAATAAGAAGGACCCCATGGGCATATGATTATTTAAACAGTTGGACACTGGGATGGACTCCCCAACAATTATGTAACTCAGCTGTCACCTTGATCAATTCTATGTGGCTGGGATAACAAAATTGTTCCTTAAAAGTCAGAGCATACCCCTCTCCATGGGGTTAACTATGAACTTGTGGAGATAATGGATGGCCCCCACCGTCCTTATAATTGGATTGGAGAATGTACTTGGGGATGCCCTTACCTCTTGGGACAAGTCATCTCCCACTTGCCAACAATTCCTCCTAATTAGGATATCGTTAGGCTGGATGTCCGGCAAAGAATGCTTCTTAATGGTTTTATCCCTTAGCCATATTTGTCCTGGGAGCCACCTCTGTTAATGTAAAATTATAAGTAGAGCCTTTGGCAAAACATCAGTGGCTGCCTTTAACCACACCCAACCCGAACTTACACCCATACCAACACATATAGGGATATTTCTATTACTAAAAAGAATGTTTCTTGTTGGCCTACGATAAATGTTACATGGGACTCTCTAGTCTATAGGCACCTCTCTGTTATCCTCAAACTATCAACATTTTAACAAAATATACAGACTCACAGATAGGCTCATGACAACAAATTTCCCCACTACCAAGTCCTTCTAATTGATACACCCAGGAAGGATTACACAAATATGCGATGGATATACGTGGTTTACTCATACAATAGGACAACTAAGGCAAAAGGCCCTTGTATGCTGGGAACAGAAAAACCATACTTTTTTTTTTTTTTAAAGATTTTATTTATTGGGGCACCTGGGTGGCTCAGTTGTTAAGTGTCTGCCTTCGGCTCAGGTCATGATCCCAGGGTCCTGGGATCGAGTCCCGCATTGGGCTCCCTGCTCAGTGGGAAGCCTGCTTCTCCCTCTCCCACTCCCCCTGCTTGTGTTCCCTCTCTCGCTGTGTCTCTGTCAAATAAATAAAATCTTTTAAAAAAAAGATTTTACTTATTTATTTGAGAGAGAGAGAGAGAGAGAGAAAGCAGGAGCAGGGGGAGGGGCAGAGGTAGAAGCAGGCTTCCCACAGAGCAGGGAGCCCAATGTGGGGCTCCATCCCAGGACCCTGGGATCATGACCTGAGCCGAAGGCAGATGCTTCACCAACTGAGCTACCCAGGTGCCCCAAAAAACCATACTCTTGATTCATAGCCTAATAGTACTCGCCAAGTGGAGTGGCTCCTCCCAAGCGCCCTGTGGCCATCCTGTTATTTCACAGGCAAAGGATTGGTTTGCTCCACTGGACAAGGTGACCAGGCATCAGATGGCTGGCACCGACCGGAACACAACAGTTAGGTGGGCCAAATTTGTGGCCATGGCTTCCACCAGGCTGGACTGGAAGATGCACCATAAGTTATGCCTGGATGCGCGGCCATAGCACTAGGACTACCCCAATCCAGCTAATCTTCCATATCTAAAACAATGAGGGACAAGAGCCATGTTCCATTGGTATGAGCATCTGATGTCTATTTTTCTTCCATCAGTAGATTTAGAAGATGTCATAAGACACACGGAGGCCCTTGATAAATACACAATTAAGGCCTTAAATGCCTCTCAAGACAGCATTACATTATTAAGCACCAAGGTAACTCAAATGTTATAAAATAGAACGGCATTAGATGTCTTAGCAGAGGCACAAGGAGGAACATGTGCCATTATTACAGTGGAATGTTGTCTATATTCCAGATTATAAGAAAAATATAAGAGGCTTACTGATATGAATAATTAAATTGGTGCTCTTAAAGGCCCTACATTGCCACTTAATGACTGGTTACATTCCTAGTCAGGAAGTGGACCATGGTCCACGCTAAAGGATCTTCTCATTGCTCTTATTTTCATTAAAACATGAATACTAATATATTGTCTTTCACTTTCTTCCTTCCTATTGTCCAGATACATGCAAGTAGTTCCTGACTCCCTTGCCCAGCCGACAGATGTCTTACTACTAGAAAGAAATTTATCCTGATGTTCACTCTGGACTCTGTAGCAATGGCTTCTGTAATAGTTATTTATAGGGACAGATAGTGACCAATTTCAGTCCATAGATAGGGACATCTCTATGACCCCTGTCAGCTTGGAGAAGTTACAGAAGATGAGCCCTTCACCCTTCAACAATTTTAGAGATTTAAGGAGCAAAAATTGGTCAAGGGGGGAAATGATGAGGGATAGAAGGAGAAAAATGTTCACCTTTAGCCCAGTAGGCTGATCTATAGCCTTCACAGTCTTGATAAGGATCAAACATGTGCTGGTTGCTACATTCTGAAAGGGTCTCATGACTGCCTGTACATCTCACCAATAGTTAATATATCAGGCTGAATGATAAGCGCCATAAAATCTTGGGAAAGTAGTTTAAGGAGTAGAATTTCGAAGAAAACATTCATGATCTAATACTTCCCGCATGTCCCCTCCCCCTTGAGCACTAGGCATATAACCAGTTTCATACAAGGTCCTGTCCTTGTGCTACTTAAATAAACTTACTAAGTTGTACCATACAATGTCTCAAAAATGCTATCTTGGCCTTTGCATTCCACGATCCTGCAACAGTACATTTGTTACAAGTGATGAATCTACACTGACACATCATAATCACCCAAAATCCATAGTTAACATCACTGGTTCACTTTTTTTTTTAAAGAGAATAATTTTTATATAGATATAATGCATTTATTGCTATGGAAAGAGATCTATATTGACAGGAAATTAAAAATCTATCAGGATGAATCCAATATTTAAATAGGAAATATATATGCATAATAAAGCTGAAATGGATCTATACTGTCATGTAACAGTAGGAATCTTGGGATATTGCCAGAATCCATACATCATAAGCAAAATTTCAGTAACTGAATTGGCGAAGATATCTGAAACTGACCAAGGACTCACTGATACTACCTTGTTTTTTTAATCATGTTTAATATTTTACTATAATTTACTGCATAAGAGCCTACTACCTGAAGGTACTGGCAATACACAGTATACCAAGGCTCATTTTTTTTTTTTTTAAAAGATTTTACTTATTTATTTGACAGAGAGAGAGACAGCGAGAGAGGGAACACAAGCAGGGGGAGTGGGAGAGGGAGAAGCAGGCTTCCGGCTGAGCAGGGAGCCCGATACAGGGCTCGATCTCAGGACCCTGGGACCATGACCCGAGCCGAAGGCAGTCGCTTAACGACTGAGCCACCCAGGCGCCCCCAAGGCTGTTTTATCTAGCACAGTGTTAAATGACTTTTCAGTATAGTTAAGAGATGGAAGGTGTGGTAAGTCTTGAGATAGAGCTGGATAAAGTTTCTCAAGAAAAAAAGGTTAAAGGACTAGTGAACTGCATGTTTTCTGATTCTAGGGGCTTAAAGTGAAACAGGGCGAAGAGATTGAATCAGAAATCAGGAATACTGAGCAACAGTGGTCATCTCTAGGCGGTAATTTCATGAGGTTGGGAAAAGGAGGGAAGGAGATGGTCCTAAGAAGTCCTAAGGTCCCACTAGCTGTCACAGAGTTAAGCTCTCTTTAAGAGAACTGTAACTAATCAGAAGCCCCCTCCCCTACACTCAGCCAAGTACTCTGGTAGGCCGAGGTAGGGAAACTCGGGAGTCAGGGGAGGACGGAGCTTGCAGGCTGGGTGGCGTGTGCCGGTGGAGGTTTCCCGCTGCAGGGAACCTGTGAGGTAACAATGGGAGACGCTGCACTTTAAAGTCTAGAATCAGGACGTGCCAGATTGGCTCCGAGTAAAAAACAGTCCTATGAATCTTTCTTGTGGGGGTAGTCAGCCGCCGCCAGGCTCCACCTCTCCCGGGGCCGTGGACGACGTCCCACCTTCCCAGGAGGCGGCCCAGCCTAAGCCTGCGGCTTCCAGAGGTACCGGGACGCACTGAAGCGCCTCCTGCCGCGTGCCTCTGCAGCTTCCGAGAGGCGGGCGGGCGCCTAGTGCGCAGGTGCGGGAAGCTGGCCCAGGGCTTCGAGCCAAGCCTTCGCAATTACGCCCCCGCCTCCGCAGGCGCTACCGGCCGTTTACTTTTGAACAGCGGCCGCGCGCTCTTTCCCATTGGCGGACGCTACGCAGTTGAATGTTGCCGGGAGACTGCGCCTGCGTCGTGAGGCCTCGCGAGGCCCCGCCCCGTCTGGGCACCTGAAATCCCTCAGGGCGGAGGAGGGCGGGGACGCCAAGCATCTCGGGGACGCGGAGTCTGGAGGCCGTAGAGCTGTTCTGGCCTGTTGGAGTAGGCTGGTCTCCAACTTCCCGCGGTGAGTCTAAGGAGCGTCTCTTCGGGTTCGAGAAGGCATCTCTGGGTCTCTCTTCTTTGCCTGTAAGCACAGGCTGGTGTACCGGGTATGTCTGGCGGAGAGTTCCAGGGGTTTGATGATGGAGAGGGTGGGCGTGGGTCCTGCATTTATTCTCTCTCGTCCCAGAGGAGGAGGTTGCGGAACCTCGTTTTCCTCCGTCGGGTATGTACGGAGCTAAATTTCTGTGAGGGATCAGGCCGTGTGTGGTGGGGAGGGTGAATGAGAAGAGCGGGGCTCCACAGACCTGGTCTGCCTCGCGTGGTTTCGGGCGGGGGGCGCCGGGGCGGTGGAAGTGCATTAGGAGGGAGGCTCGGGAAGATTTGTCCTAAACCTTGGAGAAAGGGAAGGGTACGGTTATGTTGAGGCCCTTTGTGAGAGGTTCTCATGAGACTTAACAGCGGGTGTAATTATGCCCATTTTACAGGTGTGAAACCTCAGTTCTGAGGAGCATTAGGAAAAACTGACCCAGGACGCCCCAACATTTAAATGGCAGAACTGAGAGATGTACAGACGTATTGATGGGAATAATCTAAATCAGTATTTATAATTTTAGGCAGACAAAATCTTTCACTCCCATGGATGTTTCTTGTCTTCAAGTTAACTTTAAGAAGTCTAAAAGGCGCATGAATGTTTGCTCCGTCATCACCATTGTTGGCTAACATTTTCAAGTACTCGTAAGATACTTGACAATACAAAAAGAGGTCCTTTGTGACAATATTTGGTCACGGGATTGTTGGGATTTTCAGTGTACAAGTGATAGCTCTCCTGCACCAACAACTGTTGATATTTGTCCCTATTTTTATAAAACACAATGAGGCATAGGGGAGTAAACGTCAAAGAGTAAATAACCATTCCTGTGATGTCATATTTAATACATTCTTTGAGAATGTAAATCTAAAATATTAAGATAAAATTATTTTAATTTTAGAATACGAATAAAAGAAACTGAAAAAGTTGGAGGAGATCAAGTATATTCAGTCACTAAGCCAGAAGATCAGCAAAGTAGGTAAGCCCTGAAAGATTAAGTGAATACAAAAGAAATCCTTGGTAAATTTTTTTGAGTATGTGATTTAAAGTGTAAGTTGAGATTTTTAAATCTTGTGAGAAAAGACATGTTGGTGTATAAAATTCAAGCCAGCTAGGAGGAGCATAAAGTGAAAACAGCTCCCTCATCTGACCTTAGTCACTTTTGTATACCCTTTCGGAAATTTTACGAGGATTTGTGTACATCTAAACACACAAATGGTATCATTTTATACATACAGACCTGCAAGTTGCATTTATTACTTAAGTTATCTGGATACCTTTTTACTATGCATTTACATACTGATTTGCATTTTTTTGATGACTGTGTAGCTATCCTTTGAAGTAAGGTACCATAATTTAGCCTGGCAAGGTGAAATTTTGATTTCAGGTAATGTTAGTTTTAAAATTGCCTTTCAGCAAACATATTGCTGGATATATTTTCACTGTGAAAAGTACTGAGGAAAAGGCAATGAAAACTTGAATTTCTCATTTCAGTTCTTGGTTGAATCACATAAGTAGTTTCTTTTTTAGTTTGGGGAAATAGGTTGATGTCAAAATGCAAGAACAGTGCAAATGGGCAGAGTTAAAGTCATATCTGACCATAGGATTTTTTTTTTTAATTTGAAAGAGTTATGGTGACCCTTCATTATTTTCGTCTATTTATATGTGCAAAAGTATCTTTAAAATCTTGGCCTATGGGGCGCCTGGGTGGCTCAGTTGGTTAAGCGACTGCCTTCGGCTCAGGTCATGATCCTGGAGTCCCGGGATCGAGTCCCACATCGGGCTCCCTGCTCAGCAGGGAGTCTGCTTCTCCCTCTGACCCTCCCCCCTCTCATGCTCTCTCTCTCCCTCTCATTCTCTCTCTCAAATAAATAAATAAAATCTTTAAAAAAAAAAAAAATCTTGGCCTATGTATATAGATGGCACAATTGTAGTATTTCTAAAGTAATCTTGAATTGCATAAACTGTGCTTTGTATCAGTTAGGGCGACAAAGATGTGAGACCCAATCAGAATTTTCCCAGCCTTATAGCTGACTCACACTATAAGTTCTAGAGCGACTCACTTAACTCTATAATGTGGTAAACATAATTTTCTTCAGAGGTTGTAAAATGTAATGGATGTTTTGTTACTATTCATGTTTAGAGATGAAGGGCATTATTAGTGAATTAAAATTAAAATCATTTACACACTACTGTGTAATAGAATGGATAATGATATTTTTTTTGTACTGTTTAGTTCTCCATAATCTATTCTCAGTGCTGACCACCTGTAATATGCTAGTTAGACATTGTGGAGGCTCTGTGCTCTCTCTCTCAAATAAATAAATAAAATCTTAAAAAGGAGTCACTAGGTCCAGTCTACACTCAAGGGAACAGGATTACAAAAGGACATGAGTACTAGAAGTGGAGGTCATTGGGGCCATCTTGGAGGCTGCCTATCCCAGATAGCTAATGGCTTATTTATTTAAAGAGCTGACAGCTCTTGGGTCTATCAATACTAGGAATTTTGTTAATTCATTGTTTTCTTCATTTATTTTTATTATTTTTCTTCTGCCTTTCCTAGGTTGGTTTTCCTTTTTTTTTCATTTTAAAGATTTTATTTATTTATTTGACAGAGACACAGCGAGAGAGGGAACACAAGCAGGGGGAGTGGGAGAGGGAGAAGCAGGCTTCCTGCTGAGCAGGGAGCCTGATGTGGGGCTCGATCCCAGGACCCCGGGATCATGACCCCAGACGAAGGCAGACACTTAACCAGCTGAGCCACCCAGGTGCCCCTAACTCTTTTTCTTTAGATGAATCCTTTTTATATTCCTTTTGTTTGGTAATGGAAGTATATAGCTTCAGCTCTGCCCTATACAATTTTTTTTTAAACCTTATAGATTTTCCTAAGAGTATTTTTGTTTCACATAAATAAAGTACATCTTAGCTGGGTAGAGAATTCTTAGGTCATATCCTTTTCCGTCTAGACCCTGTGGACATTGCTCTATGATCTTTCAGCATTCCTTGTTGCTTTGGAGATGTTCTGGTTATGTACCACCATGTAACAAATATCTGAAGGCTTGGCTGGCTGCATGTTCATGATGACTTTTTTGCTCACATGTCTGGTACTTCATTGCTTCTCTACTTTTCCTCTCTTGCCAGCAGAGTAGTCTGGACTTTGTTTTACATAGTGATTCATGGCTCTGGGGCAATAACCTGCCAGGCTAATTAAGGGCTATACCAGAATGGTCATAGCATCCCTTGTACTTTATATCCTGTTGATCAGAGCAGTCACATAGCCTGCCCGGGTTTTTTGTGGGGAAGAGATTTCATCTTTTGATGGGGGAGTACCTCTGAAGCCACACTGTGGAGGAGCATATGTGGGAGATAATTGTTGTGACCATTTTTGGAAATTATAATTTCCCAGAAGAGCATTCTGAGACCATTGTTCTTTCCTTTTTTAGATATCTTACTTTTTTGCCTAGATGCTTGTAGTATTGTCTGTCTAAAATTTTATGTTTTTAATTAGATGTTAATAGTTGAAAATAAAATAGTATTTAGGTTAATAATGAAAAATAGTAGTCCCCTGCCCTCACTCCCCACTCCTGATTCCTGCTCTCCAGAAGCAACCACTTTCATTTAATGATTTATTTTGTTATCTGTTTCTAGATTTTTTTAAAAAAGATTTTATTTATTTGACAGAGAGAGAGACAGCGAGAGAGGGAACACAAGCAGGGGGAGTGGGAGAGGGAGAAGCAGGCTCCCCGCTGAGCAGGGAGTCTGATGTGGGGCTCGATCCCAGGACTCTGGGATCATGGCCTGAGCTGAAGGCAGATGCTTAACGACTGAGCCACCCTAGGTGCCCCGAAGATTTAATTCTTAAGCACATTCCCTCCAGCCAATATAGTTGTCGTTTTCTTAGTTTGGGCTGTTATAACAAAAATACCATGGACTAAGTGGCCTAAACAACAGATTTTTCACAGTTCTGGAGGCTGGGAAGTCCAAGATCAGGATGCCAGCATAGTTGGGTTCTGGTAAGAACACTCCCTTCCTGGGGAGCCTAATCACCTCCCAAAGGCTCTTCTTCCTAATACCATCACATTAATGGCTAGGATTTCAACATGAATTTTGGGGGGACACAGGCATTCAGTCCATAAGTCATGTTTTTTGGTAAAATCAATATTTAATATTATGACTAATATAAATGAGCCATATATTTCCTCCCATTTCATGATTCTGTCACTTTTCCCAAACTTTAGCTTTGTCATCACCTCTCATTATGTTCAGACACTTGAAATATTGTCAGTTCCATTTCTTAAAGACCTTTTGGATTCCTTTTGGATCTGTTTTCTTTTCCCAGACTACTTGTTCTCTAGGCTTGCTGCACAGTTGTTCTGGATTTAATTTCACCATTAACCTGGTGAGAATTCTTGCTTTTCTTTTCCAAAAGTTATTTTCCTGGGTATAGAATTTTAGGTTGGAAGCCATTTTTTCCTGAGAACATTGAGGGCATTGCTTCACTGCCTTCTAGTTTCCAGTGTTGTTACATACATACAATGTAGCTAAATCCAAGACATTTCATCCTGGAAAACATACATAGGTAAAGTTTTTGCTCCTTTTTTCCTTCTCAAAAGTCTGAGCTGGATATAGAAAACTGCTGGTGCATAAAATTTCATACTAGTTTCTGGAAGGACTGGCTTCTAAGTATGAAAACCACCTTTATCTTCTGTTTCTCAGGCAATAACCAGAGTCAGAAAGTTGCTGGCCTCACAGAGTTGTTTTCATCCAGGCTTGCTTCTGTTAACCAGTTTTGACTTGTCATAAATTTATTGCCTAAAATCTTTTTTTTTAATTTTAATTTTTATTTATTTTTTAAAGAATTAGAGGCTCACACTGCTCTCTCAAGCAACCAGGGTGCAGTGTTTTCTTTTCTTTCTTAAAGATTTCATTTATTTATTTGAGAGAGAAAATGAGAGGGAGAGAGAGAGCATGAGAGGGGGGAGGGTCAGAGGGAGAAGCAGACTCCCTGCTGAGCAGGGAGCCCGATGCGGGACTCGACCCTGGGACTCCAGGATCATGACGTGAGCTGAAGGCAGTCGCTCAACCAACTGAGCCACCCAGGCGCCCTAAAATCAGTTTTTAATAGCAAGAAGAGGGTCATCCAAGAGTAGGATTTTATTTCTGTGTCTTCAAGTTAACTACAAACTTCTAATTAAATTTTATTAAAAATGTTTATGTACTGTGAAAGTTAACTTTTGAGACCATATTTGCTTTCTATTTTATATGAGCTCAGGAGATAACATTTTCTTTCAGTATTGTTATGAATATCTTCATTGTAAACAAAGTTGAGCTTTGGGGGTCCCTAAATGGGTCTCAGGGAAAAATGTTTTCTAGCCTTTTGTCAAATAAGACTTTAGAGGGAAAGGTTTGATTCTGTTTTAGGCCTAATTTTGGCACTTAAACATTAAATAGCTCTAATATTAAATCTAAATTGAATATATGTCCACTGCTCAAATGTTATTTTTCCCCTGCAAAGTGCTGTTTTGTTTATTCCTTCATTATGCATTCTGACATCACTAAAATCCTCTGAGAAACATGTTTGTTTTTCATGGGTGGTTTTGTGTGATTATAGAGCTCTCTGTAGGTATGGTCTAAATGTCATGAAATCTTCCCAGCATGCATTCTCTTGGACTTATCTGCAATGAATGTCATCTACTGTATTGTTGCCCAATTACTTAATTTCCCGGAATGTTTCACAGTTAAAGCTTAGGATCTGTGTGACACATCTTGACTCAATAGGGTTCTGTATATTGTCAATCTGAATGGAATATTTTTTGATAGACTCTCCTGTTACAGCTTTTCCTAAACAAAGTAGAGATTTTGCTGTTTTTTAAAAAACAAGAAAGTGAGGGGCGCCTGGGTGGCTCAGATGGTTAAGCGTCTGCCTTCGGCTCAGGTCATGGTCCCGGGGTCCTGGGATCGAGTCCCGCATCGGGCTCCCTGCTCCTTGGGAGCCTGCTTCTCCCTCTGCTTCTCTCTCTCTCTCTCTCTCTCTCTCTCTGTGTCCCTCATGAATAAATAAATAAAATCTTTAAAAAAAAATAAAAAATAAAAAACAAGAAAGTGAGATCTGACATTAACATTGGTTTCTGAAGGGGTAGTGTTTATTCAACCAATGTTGAGTGAATCCCTACTATGTGTTTAGTGAATACACGTAGTGAATACCTATAAGTTCTGTGTTTAGACACAATTCCTGCCCTTATTGCAGCCTTACATCCTAATAGATAGGAAAATCTTACAAAATTCTCTTAATAACTCCAATTAAATACCATAAATTGGCAGTACAGCATTCAGTGAGATTAATAAGAGACCTAATTTGGGGAGGAGGCAGGGCCCAATTTGAGACTTGATTAAGAGTTTGATTTTAAAAATGTGAAGGAGCATAGAGCCAAAAAGTCTAAAGAGGTTTTTAACAGTTAATAAAAGTACACAATTATTTGTAGATGTCTTCTCAAATTTCTCATCTTAAAAGTTAGTTTTATAGAGGATGATTTGGTAACCTTTATATTTTACATGAATGGGACTTGGGTTTTTTGTTTTGTTCTTTAAGGTTCTCTAAATGGTGGTGTAACTTGCTTTTTCTCTATCAGAGCTAAGTAATTCCTGGAGATTGTGGCTTGAATTTGAGGATAGGTACAAACTGAGACTGTAAGACGAGGTAGGGTACAAAACTGTCAGGCTTTTGTTGTTGGAAATGTCAAAACTATCTTGCCAAGAGGTCAAGTTACTATTGCTGGGTTTCTTTCATTAAGGAAAGAGGGCTAATGATGTTCTTTACCACTAACGCTCTACTGGTCAGTAATTCATAGTTAACCCCAATCAACATTTCATCTTTAAAACTGATTTTTATTGGAAGGACGAATTAAAAAAAGTTTTTCCCTTCCAAATCTGCAAATTAGGATTATTATTTTGGAATATTAAATTACGCTGATCCTGGACTTTAAGCATACTAGTATTTCAACTGAAGAAGCTAAGAAATTTATAGTAACTGTTACTAGAGAAATTTAATACCTTGCCTTAGGAACTATGGTTGAGCCAACTGGGAACATGAATTCTTTTGAATTAAAGAATATAGTTTTGCTAATCCCAATTTGTTATTTAGTAGGAATGTTTAATCTTGCCTATTTTTGCATAATTAAAAAAAATCCATGGGACACCTGGGTAGCTCAGTCGGTTAAGTGTCTGCCTTCGGGTCAGGTCGTGATCCTGGGGTCCTGGGATCGAGTCCCGTATTGGGCTCCTTGCTCAGCGGGGAGCCTGCTTCTCCCTCTGCCTGCCACTCCCCCTGCTTGTGCTTGCTCACACTCTCTCTCTCTGGCAAATAAATAAAATCTTAAAAAAAAATCCTAACTTATTTTTGAGTATAAATGATGCACATTACATTAGTTTCATGTGTACAACAGTTTCAGTAACTCTATATTCATTATGGTATGCTCACACAATTATAGCTACTGTGTCACTATACAGAGCTATTAAAATACTGTATTCCGAGTGTTGTACCTTTCATCTTCATGACTTATCCCATAACTGGAAGGCCGAACCTTCCTATCCCCTTCACCCATTTCACCATCCCCACCCACCCCCTGCCCCACAACCATTTTTGTTCCTGTATTTATGGATCTGTTTTGGTGTTTTTGTTTGCTCATTTATTTTTTTTAAAGATTTAATTTATTTTAGAATGAGAGGGAGCACTAGCAGGGGGGAGGGGCAGAGGAAGAGGGAGAGAGAATCTTAAGCAGACTCTGTGCTAAGGAAGGAGCCCTATGCGGGACTTGATCCCATGACCCTGAGATCATGACCTGAGTTGAAACCAAGAGCAGGACACTCGCCAACTGAGCCATCCAGGTGCCTCTGCTCATTTGTTTAGATTCCGCATATAAGTGAAATCACATGGTATTAGTCTTTCTATTATTTTGCTTAGCATAATATCCTCCAGGTCCATCCATGTTATTGCAGATAATAAGATCTCATTTTTCTATGGCTGATTATTATTCCATTGTTTCTATATATTTATCATACACACACACATATATACATATGCACATATATGTACACATACATATATATGCATACATACACACCAGATCTCATCTGTTGATTTATGATGGACACTTCTACTGCCTCCGTATCTTGGCTATTGCAAATAATGCTGCAGTGAATATGGGGTGCCTACAACTTTTGGATTTAGTGTTACTATCGTTGGATAAATATTTAGTAGTGGAATTACTGGGTTGAATGGTATTTCTATTTTTAGTTTTTTGAGGAACCTCCATACTGTTTTCCAGTGATTGCACCAATTTACACTCCCATCAACAGTGCAGGATTCCATTTTTTCCACATCCTCGCCAACACTTATTTTTGTCTGATACTAGCCATTCTGACAAACCTAAGGTGGTGTCTCGTGGTTTTGATGTGCATTTCCCTGATGATCGGTGATGTTGAGCATTGTGTTGTGTCTGTTGGCCATCTGTATGTCTTTGGAAAACTTTATTCAGGCCCTCTGCCCATTTTTTAATTGGATTGTTTTTGGTGTTGGGTTGTACAAGTTCCTCATATATTTTCGATATTAACCCCTTATCAGATAGGTATCATTTGCAAATAACCTCCCATTGTCTTTTCATTTGCTGGGCAGAAACTTTTAATTTTGGTGTAGTTCCCATTTATTTTTGCTTGTTTCCCTGGCTTAAGGAGACATATTTAGAAAAATGTTGCCAAGACCAGTGTCCCCATAGATTATTTTCTATGTTTTATTTATGGAGTTTTCAGGTTTTACATTTTGGTATTTTAATCCACTTTGAGTTTATTTTTTTATATGGTATAAAGAAAGTGGTCCAGTTTCAGTCTTTAGCATAGAGCTGTTCAGTTTTCCCAGCATCATTAAAGTGATTATCTTTTCCTCATTGTATATTCTTGTCTCCATTGTCAGAGATTGCCCATGTAAGTGTGAGTTTATTTCTGGGTTATCCCGTTCATTGATCTTTGTCTGTTTTTGTACCAGTACCATACTGTTTTGACTACTCCAGCTTTGTAGTTAGTTTGAAATATGGGATTGTGGTACCTCCCACTTTGTTCTTTAACAAGATTGCTTTGGCTATTCAGGGTCTTTTGTGGTTCCATACAAATTTTAGGCTTATTCTAGTTCTATGAAAAATACTGTTGGTATTCTGATAGAGATTACATTGAATCTGTAGATTGCTTTAGGTAGTATAGACATTTTGACAGTGTTCTTCCAGTCCAGAGTATGGCATATTTTTCAACCTGTTTGTCTTCAGTTTCTTCCATCAGTGTTGAGTAGTTTTCAGAGTACATGTCTTTCACCTTCTTGATTTATTCCTAGGTATTTTATTCTGGTAAATGTGGTTAATTTCTTCCTGCTATTGTTAAGTGTATAGAAATGCAACAGATTAATTTTGTATACTGCAACTTTACTGAATCTTCATTTATTCTAAGTTTTTTGGTGATCTGTAGGGTTTTCTATATAAAGTGTCCTGTCATTTGCAAATAATGGCAGTTTTACTTTTTTTTTTTTTAACCAACGTAGATGACTTTTCTTTTGTCTGCTCTGGCTAGGACTTACAGTTCTTGTGCAAAGTTTAGATTTTAGCACTTAGAATGTAAAAATTGCACAGGTTATCATTAAGTAGACTTCGACAGAACACTGAATTTTACTTTTGCATAGAAGCAAACTTAAATAACTTTAATTTGAAGTATTTACTACAAATTAGAATTGTTTAGCATGATTTTTGTCCCAAAGTAAGCTCTTAAAAATGATGTCTATATATTAGAAATTGTATTACTTAGAAAGCTGCTTTTAAAAATCTTAAACATCTTATCTTTTAAATGACAAGCACAGGATATTAATAGTTTTGAGGTTAACACCTATAACTTTATATGGTATATACAAGTGTCTTTGTTACATGGAGGCTTAAAATACTTTCTTCTCTTGACAGGAAATGCACAATTTTGAGGACGAGTTAACATGTCCCATTTGTTACAGTATTTTTGAAGATCCTCGTGTACTACCGTGCTCTCATACATTTTGTAGAAATTGTTTGGAAAACGTTCTTCAAGCATCTGGGAACTTTTATATATGGAGACCTTTACGAATTCCACTCAAATGCCCTAACTGCAGAAGTATTATTGAAATTGCTCCAACTGGTATTGAATCTTTACCTGTTAATTTTGCATTAAGGGCTATTATTGAAAAGTACCAGCAAGAAGACCATCCAGATATTGTCACCGGTCCTGAACATTACAGACAACCATTAAATGTTTACTGTCTCCTAGATAAAAAACTAGTTTGTGGTCATTGCCTTACCATAGGTCAACATCATGGCCATCCCATAGATGATCTTCAAAGTGCTTATCTGAAAGAAAAGGACACGCCTCAAAAACTGCTTGAACAGTTAACTGACACACACTGGACAGATCTTACTCGTCTTATTGAAAAGCTGGAAGAACAGAAATCTCATTCAGAAAAAATGGTCCAAAGTGATAAGGAAGTTGTTCTACAGTATTTTAAGGAGCTTAGTGATACATTAGAACAGAAAAAAAAAGTTTTCCTAGCTGCTCTCTGTGATGTTAGCAATCTGATTAATCAGGAATATACTCCACAAATTGAAAGAATGAAAGAAATAAGAGAGCAGCAATTTGAATTAATGACACTGACATCATCTTTACAGGAAGAGTCTCCACTTAAATTTCTTGAAAAAGTTGATGATATCCGCCAACACGTGCAGATTTTGAAACAAAGACCACTTCCTGAGGTTCAACCTGTTGAAATTTATCCTCGAGTAAGCCAAATATTGAAAGAAGATTGGAGCAAAACAGAAATTGGACAAATTAAGAAACTTCTCATTCCTGAAATGAAAATTTCTTCAAAGAGGATGCCATGTTCCTGGCCTGATAAAGATGAAAAAGAAATTGAATTTTTTAAGATTTTAAACATTGTTATAGTTACTTTAATTTCAGTGATACTGATGTTGATCCTCTTTTTTAACCAACACATAATAACCTTTTTAAATGAAATCACTTCAATATGTTTTTCTGAAGTCTCTCTATCTGTTTATCAAAGTTTGTCTAACAATCTGCATGATTTAAAGAATATGCTATGTCACACTTTACATTTATTGAAGGAATTCATGTGGAAAATAGTTTCTCATTGAAAATTCAAATCTGAATTGTTTAAATAGGCATTCTGTACAGCAGACTAAACCATTGCTAAAGGGAGAAATAGGGTAGGATGGATAAACAAAATAGCCAACTGAACTATCACAGAGTTACAACAAATATATAGAAATACGTTAAACCATCCATGCTTCTTAGATGATGGAAGTATGTCAAAGTTAGAAATGATACATAAGTTGTCTAAACCAGAGTGTTTCGTTCACTTGATTTAATAGATTATCCCATTTACTTTATCGCTGTGGCATTGAAACATTCCTGTACCAATACTATCTTTTAGCATTTTTTTTTTTTTTGTCTTTTAGCATTCTATTAACTGCAGTGGTTAGTGTTGCAGTTCTTTATGTAGTTTTTAGATTAAAAGATGGCAAAATCCTGAGAGTGTATAGGCCTTTATTTTGATGTGGCTTGAAAGCCTTTGGCCAAATAAGGATGGTGAGTAGAGGTTTTAAATTCAAGTAGCAAAGTCTAAAAGTGATAAGGGATTGCTTACATTAAGGATATTTTTGATCAAACATACCTGACGCATTTATACATTTTAAGATAGATTTAAGAGCCCTAAAATGTTTATCAACATTCATTCCTGACAAAGCTATTGCTTTTGGAAATATTTTGTTAGGGAACAGTGACCTTTTCAAATAATGGTCTTATTTTATTCTGTGGTTTTTTTAAGTTTGACTTTTTGGTTAGTGCTTTTTGTTTTGCTAGTCAAATCGGTTCTTGGATTAAAAATTCAAAACATTTTACCAGCATAGTATATTGTTGATATATTCCATCATTTGATTTAGGTGGCATCATGTTAACTCTATTTGTCTCAAAAATGGGCTCTTCTGCCATTTGCTTAGGCTATTATCAAAGTACCAATAATTTAACTTTCTTGAATTTTGCTTAAATGGGAGCCTGTGTAGCTCTTAAGTCAAATCCCTTTGATTAGTTTTCCTTATTGTTAACAGGGACTGGAGTTGTGGTGCTTGTGGTAGGACTTTTGGCCCTTTTGTCCATGGAAACTAAGTAAAAGATCATTTGTTTTCCAGAATTCCAAATTGGCTGTTGCTCTTAGATCCATTCCCTAGGAACCCTATCTAGTTCAGAGACTTTTCGGGTCATTTTAGGGAATGCTCCTGGTTCTATACTACATATAAATTATAATTAATATGGCTGTAGTTCTAAAATGCTCCTAAAGGCTTATCTGCTGAGAATATCTTACCACAAAGATGGCTGGCTTTATCAAGTCAAATATATGACCAGAATCAGAATATATATCTAGCACAGTCGTCAATCGTGTGGGCAAAGAACATTTGGAGGGTATTAATAGAGGTGGTGGGGGGAGTTAAGTAATTAAGGTATTGAAATATAAATACAACATATTAACTTTAGACTGAAGTTTATTAGTTACAATACAAAAATGCCACATACTTTTTGAATACGTATGAGTAAGCACTGAAATTTGTTAGCTATTTGTGCCAAGCTCTTAACGTCACATTTCTGAAGTAGGTGTTAACTTCTACTTTCTGTAGATAAGTAAACAGAACGAAAAGTGATTTGCCCAAGGCCGTACAGCCAGCATATGGGAAACAATGTCTTTTCAGAGTTCCTGCTGACCAAAACTTTAAGCCAAGATTTTTATTCAATTAGGACTAATTTATGTCTAAGAATCATTTATAAAAATTGGAACATATACACACATTTTAGGTTTGACATTACTATTTTGTAAGTTGCCAGTTCTTAGACAAAACTGAATTTTATGTAGTGTGCATGAATATAGTCAAGAATACAAATAACCGATTAATACATGCTGTTCTGTTTTGTAGTTCTTACCTGGAGGATGAAATTGTAAAGTTTAAGGTATATAATCCTGAAATATTTTTAAGTTTTATGTATAACAAAATATATTTTAATAAACTTATTTTGCTATTTTATTTGCATTGAGTGGCTTAATGTGCTCAAACTCGAGTGGTAGCTTTGGGGAATTTTCATAGGGGTTATGGGAATTATCTATCTTAAATCTTTAAGACTTATGTCATAGAGCTTCAGTACAGGAGAGTATTAAGTTCCATTAATCACTGCTTTCACCAATGAAAAAGCACTTAAGCACTTGATTATAGTTTTATTTTTCCCTTATATCTTGATTTAAAACAAATGACCATATTTGAGTTTCAGATTTTGCTTTATTTAAGTCCATGCTAATGTATTTACATATTTAATGACTATTATGATATATACCATCTTTGTTGGATCTTTTTAGTACCTAAACAATGGTTGCTGAATATTGAGCTAATAACTTTAATTCTTTAGAATCAATATCTAGAAATCAAATAGCTAGGGCAAAGACTTGACTTAATACCAAAATTCCTCTTGAACCCAAGTGTGGTTGCCAACTTCAGTTACACGGTAACACTGAGCTAATGCAGTGCAGAAAAGAGTGTCCTGGCAAATGGATAGGCAAATACTCCATCTTAATTTCCATTTATACTAAGGAAGTTAACCCCTACATACTTCATTTTTTATGAAGCAATTAACTGATGAGTATCTTATGTTCAGATATTGTCTGTTTGCTGGTCCTCTTGCAAGTTTAAAACACACTGAGTTAGAACGTATAAAATATTTAAATTTTCATCTTGCAGAATTCAGAAGTTTAAAAAAGTGTTCCCATTGGGTAATAGTGACTGTCTAAACTATTAAATTATAGTAAATAGAATACCTTAAGAATTCAGTAGTAGTTGGCAGGTTTTTCCATTGTAGATTAGAGATCCATGATGGTATGCTGCATCTTGATTAACATGATATAGTTTAGAACTTACTGTTCATGAACTAACACATTTTTAACCCTGTTGGTAACAACTTGGGACTAAGGGCAAATCACCCGACCCTCCCAGGCATCTTATTTTCTTCATGGCCTGCTGCTTACAAAATTGTCAGATTCTTAGTCTCCTAGAAGCAGGTATATAGAGTATTTTTTAAAAGATTTTATTTGAGAGACAGAGTACATGAAAAAGCAAGGGAAGAGGCAGAGGGAGGGAGCCTGATAAAGGGCTCGATCCCAGCACCCTGGGATCATGACCTGAGCCAAAGGCAGATACTTAACCAACTAAGCCACCCAGGTGCCCCTAGAATATTTTATTAAGACTTTATAACATGTCTCCTAATAGCATAAAATAGAAGCCAGTTAGTTACATGATTCAGTTTAGGAATATGTATTTTACATAATTTATAATCCTTTACAAATAGAAAATCATAATACAATATGCTGATTCAATTTAAGGAATCCTGGTTATAAACAAATTCAACAAAGTCCTTTAGATGCGATTTGTTTTGGGTTTACGGCAACACTTTTTGTTATATTGTATGTCTTGTATATTCCAATAAGTCTGTCTGAAATCTCAAACATATTATTTCGAAGAGAAATTATTATGAACTGGGCATTTTTTGTTTGTTCCTAAAGAGAAAGAAAAAATAGAAGTATTAATAACAAATCATAATAAACATCTAAACTTCCCTGAAATGTTCTGGGCAATACATTCAACATTACTTTGATTAAGATGAACAGGAATGATAGCATGGGTAATTCATGACATAGTATTTGAGTTTGAAAGGAATTTGGGTATTTTTGGAAGCATGGTTGCCTAGAAGTCTTCAAGTGGGAAAGAAATCTAAGGAGACCAGAGATTCTAGATGTGTTTCTGCTACTAATTTACATTATCAGTTTACATTTTAACTTGTCCAAATTGGAAATATTTAGTTCAAATAAAGGACTTGGTCTCTCTGGTACCATATAGGACATGGTATTAAGAGTATAGGGGAAAAGCTCAAAGGTAAGAAATATGTCAATGAATTCCATGTGTGTCATTATAAAATTCTCAGAATGAAAACCTCTAAATGATTACTTACATATATATAAAATGCAACAATGGACACATTTTTAAAATCAAGGGCTGCATCAATCTCATCCATGAAGTACAGAGGAGTAGGTTTGTAGTGGTGAAGAGCAAATACTAAAGCCAAAGAACTAAGTGTTTTCTCTCCTCCTGAAAGATTGAAGATCTTCTTCCAACTTTTCTTAGGTGGTCGAACACTGAATTAAAAGAAAATCTCTTCTTAGATTACTTGCAAAGTTAAAGACTTCATGATTTGTTTTCCATAACTGGCTTCTACCATCTTCCTTGGGGATCTCTAATTTGCTTTTCACAGATCTAAACTTTTTTGGGGTTATTTTATAAAAATGTTATTGGAGAATGAACACAACACCTACCAAAATTTTAAGATTTAAACAGTAAGCCAGTGAACGCTTCTTGCTATGCTTCTGTTTCCAGTGCATTTTTTTTCCTTTGCAACTTTAAAATCCTAATATTAAACTGAAATGGCTCAATTTAAAAAGATGAACTAGACAAATATTGTGTAAAATTATTTGCTGCTTGCCCAGATTTTTTTTTTTTAAAGATTTTATTTATTTATTTGAGAGAGAGAGAGAATGAGAGATAGCACGAGAGGGAAGAGGGTCAGAGGGAGAAACAGACTCCCCGCTGAGCAGGGAGCCCGATGCGGGACTCAATCCTGGGACTCCAGGATCATGACCTGAGCCGAAGGCAGTCGCTTAACCAACTGAGCCACCCAGGCGCCCACTGCTTGCCCAGGATTTATGCTGTAAACTGCCAATATGTAAACAAATTACTATTTACCATCAAATAAAACAAGCTGGAGAGCTAACCTTCATATCCCACCCTTAAAAAATGACAATTTGGAGATTATGTAGAGATACGTAACAAGAGGATCTAAAACTCAGTATAGGGACGCCTGGGTGGCTCAGTAGTTGAGCATCTGCCTTCAGCTCAGGTCATGATCCCAGGGTCCCGGGATCGAGCCCTGCATCGGGCTCCCTGCTCAGTGGGAAGCCTGCTTCTCCCTCTCCCACTCCCCCCCTGCTTGTGTTCTCTCTCTCACTGTCAAATAAATAAAATCTTAAAAAAAAAACCCAAAACTCAGTATAATTACAAACCTGAACATGATTCCTTCAGAGAAAGGATCCAAGCTGTCTACAAGCTCCAGTTCAGCATCACCTCCCAAAGTTAGCATTTGGTAATTTTCCTTTAATTTATTTGTTATTATATAAAAACCTGCCATGAATTCATTAAGCCTTTGTTTCCGAAGATCTTCATATGCCTGTCTAAACTG